GATCTGCAGGACTACAGTAGTAATATGGCTATCTTTCGAGGAACAATCTACAGGTTCAGTTCAATTTCCATCAACATCCCAACACAATTTTTTTCAGACCTTGAAAGAACAATATGCAACTTCATATGGAAAAACAAAAAAAGCCAGGAAAGCTAAAGCAACCATGTACAATAAGAGAACTTCTGAAGTTATCACTATCCCTGATTTTAAGCTGTACCACAAAGTAACAGTAACAATAACAATAATAATAATAACAACAATAATAATACCCATGGTATTGGCATACAAATAGATTGATTGATGGAATGGAATCAATGACCTGGTTAAACCCACACATCTATGAACACTTGATATTTGACAAAGAAGCTAAAACAATTCAATGGGGGAAAAATCTTCTTAAACAAATGGTGTTGTGTTGATCAAGATGAGGTCTATCACCCTGTGCAAAACTCAACTCCAAGTGGATCAAAGAGTTCAAATTAAAACCATATACACTAAACCTGATAGAATAGAAAGTGGGGAATAGGCTTGAACACATAGGCCCCCAAAACAACTTCCTAAACAGAACAGCTAAGGGATTAAAATCAGTAGTTAATAAACGGGACCTCATGAAGGTGAAAATCTTTTGTAAGACAAAAGACACCATCGATAGGACAAAATGGCAGTCTACAGAATGGGGAAAGTCCTTTACCACCCCGACAGATGTCTGGTACAAAGAATCAAGAAATTAGACATTAACAAACCAAATAACTCAATTAAGAAATAGGGTCTAGAGCAAAACAGAAATCTGGACAGATGCATCTCTGATAGCCCAGAAGCACTTAAAGCACTGTTCAACACCAATAGTCATCAGGGAAATGAAAATCAAAATGGCTCTGAGATTCCATCTTACACCCTTCAGAATGGTTATCATCAAAAACTCAAGTAAAAGCTCATGCTGGCATGTATGTAGTGCAAAGGGAACACTTCTCCATTGCTGTTGGGAGTAAAAACTTGTACAATCTCTTTGAAAATCAATCTTGCTGTTTCTTAGAAAGTTGAGAATAATACTACCTCAAGACCCAGATAAACCACTTTGGGGAACATACCCAAAAGCTCTTCTACCATACCATAAGGGCAGTTACTCAAGTATGTTTATAAGGAAACAACTTAGATATTCCTCAACAAAAACTAGATAAAGAAATTGTGGTAAATTTACACAATGAAATATTACTGATTTATTAAAAACAAGAACATTGTAAAATTTGCAGGTAAATCAATGGATCTAGAAAATATCAGTATGAGTGAGGTAACTGAGACCCAGAAAGGCACACATGACAGATACTCACTAATAAGTGGATATTAGCCATAAAGTACAAGATAAGCATGCTACAAACCTCAAGAAACTAAGGTACCAGGAGGACCGAAAGGAGCACTGAGAAGGGGAAAGAAAATAAACAGTGAGGAAGGATAGAGTGAGGGAATTCTGTGGGAGAGGGGAATAGGAGAGATCAAGTCTGGGGAGGACAGAGAGAGAACTAGGAAAATTGGAATTGATGTGTGTTGGTCATCTCTTAGATGAGCTAGAAATTTAGGATAATGGTAACTTCTAGGAATCTATAAGGGTGAACCTAGCTAAGAACCCTAATAGGGGGATATGGAACTTGAAACAGCCATTTCTTGTAACTAAGGAAGACTTCTAATGGAGGGATAGGAACAGTAATTCAGCCACCAAACCTTAAACCACAATTTATCCTGCCTACAAAATGTGCAGGGATAATGTTGGTGCTGAAATAGATGGAATGCTAAAACAATGACTGGCCTGCCTTGAGACCCATGCCATGAGAGAGAGTTCACTGTTGAAACTACCAATGATTTTTGCTATACTTGCAGACAGGAGCCTCATAAAACTATCACCTGAAAGACTTCACCCAGCAGGTGACAGAAACAGATGAAGAGACCCACAGCCAGATATTAAGTTGAGCTCAGGGAATCTTGTGGAAAACGGAGAAGAAGAATTAAAGGAGCCAGAGGCCTCAAGGATACCATAAGAAGATCTACAGAGTCAACTAACATGGGCCCAGTGTGGCTCCTAGAGACTGAAACATCCACCAGAGAGCATGCATGAGATGGTCCTAGGCCCTCTCCACATATATAACACATACGTTGCTTGTTCTTTATATGGAACCCCCGAACAGCAAGAGGAGAGTCTGTCTCTGACTCTGTTGCTTGTCTTTGGATCTCTTACCCCTAACTGGGCTCTCTTCTCTAGACTCAATAGATGTGCCTACTCCTATGGCATTAGGGTTGACATCCATGATAAGCCTTCTTTGAGGAGAAGGGGGAGGACATGGTGGGAGGTGAGGTGAGAGAGAGGGACTGGGAGGAGGAAGCATATGTTGTGAAGAGGATTTAAAAGTAAATATATCAATTTAAACACACACACACACACGCACACGCACACGCACACGCACACGCCCAAATAAAATGCAGTGACATAAAGTCCACCAAACATTCACAGGCTTTTTTTTTTCAGTGGTGTGGGGAGTTGTCCACTGCACTGGAATGTGGTTGATAATGAATACAATTTTCTTTCTTTCTTTGGAACAGTTTGCTGACATATTTAGTATTTAAAATGAGTCCCATTGTCTACTAAGCAAAAGTATTAGAGGCTACACAAGCACAACCAGTTCATACAATCTAACATCATTTCTTGGTTGGAACATAACAACGTGAATGCTGACAGCTCAAGCGCTGCCATGGTACCGAGCTCTTGGGCATAGGCCTGGGAGATTAAAGGAAGACACAGACTCGGATCATTCGTTATGAGAGAATGTCAAAGCTTTTACTGAGCAGGTTCAATATATATACCAAGCCAGGGAAGGAAAGACACAAAAAAGAACTCAACTGGGGGGCAGTGGGCTGTCAGTGTAAATTCCCTTCCTGGGGCACCATGCCTACCTACATCAGGATGTTTTGATCTTAGAAAAACTGCAGAATGATACTTAGTAGACAGCAGCACTGGGAAAGTCTCAGCCAGGGCATGGCAGCCCTTCGGGGGTCCTACAGAATCTCATCTAATTTATCAAGTGAGATAGACGCATCAGATGGAGAAGGAAGAAAGACCGTTAAGTGGCACAGACTTATTAATCATTTGAATACCTAAACACTTACACTAAGGAACAAGCTGCTACATATATACTCTTGGGAGATAAATGAAATCTATCAGAGCCAATTGAAGCCTACAAATATTTTCCATGTATAAAACTATACAAAATAGTCTCAGTGGTCCTTATTCTAAAAAAGATAAACTGAAACTTTCAATTTTCTTTAAAAGAATTAGATCTTAAGAGAATGTTGATGTTCAAGCCATTAAAACACACATAGAAAGTTAACTAAATTTCTAAAATTTTGTCTTCACTACTCCACTGTCAGCTTCTCAATTATTAGAAGTACTTTTCATAAAAATTTAAGGTCCTTATATGATGTTCACAATACGAACCCAAGTTCCCTTTTCACATACCTTTTCTTTCTCAACTGCAACTGAGGCTGCATCTTCACCAATGGCCTTCCCTGGCCTCTAACAGTACCAAGACTCAGCTGTTCTCCATGATTCCTTCATATCTTCAAAACCAGTAACACAACTGGGTGATTCTTACACACTGCCAAGTCCAGCTGTACCATGAAGTACAACCTTGGCTATCTCTGCAACACAGCTTTTTTGAGCTCTCAGAAAATACTTCTTGGAAGACTTCACCTCACAGATACTGGTTTCTTCTTAATCACTGCTAATTTCTTAGCTTCATCTAGCCAGGATCAATTGTTCCAGGAGTCACTTCTATTCTTGACTCTAAAGGTAGAGCCACATGACTGAGTTTTGCTGCTTGCTGAGGCTGGAACATGTCTTCCTTATTCTATTTCCAGCTTTCTGTTTTCCAACTCCCTTACTGCCTAAGCTTGATTGTCCTAAAACTTGTTCTGTAGGCTGACCTTGAACTCAGAGATCTGCATGTCTCTGTTTCCTGAATCTTGGGATTAAAAGTATGTGCTACTTCACCTAGACTTAAGCTTTTCTTCATCTAGGACTTGCTCTGTCCTAGGCTAGCCTTGATCACAAGAACTGTCTCTCAGTATCATATTAAAATCTTTCTCCTCTCAAACCTCTAGAGTCAGGCTTCTACAGTTCAAATCACCCTCGGCAAAAAAATCTTCTATATTCCTACTAAGATTGCCCACTAAGCACCACGTAAAGCATTCCACTGATTTCTAAATCTGAAGTCCCAAAATCCACATTCTTCTAAACAAAAGCTTAGTTAGGCCTATCACAGCAATCACCTAGTCCCTTTTAGCAACTTCTGTCTCAGCGTTTTATTGCTGTGAACAGACACCATGACCAATGACAACTTTTACCTGCCTTACAGGTTCAGAGGTTCAATCCATTATCACAAATGTAGGGGCATGGCAATATCCAAGCATATATGGGAAAAGGGGAACTAGGAGTTCCACCTCTAGTTCTAAAGGCAGCTAGGAGAAGACTAGCTTTCAGGCAGCTAGAATGATGGTCTTAAAGCCCACACCCACAGTGATACACTTCATCCAACAAGGCCAAACCTATTCCAACAAGGCCACATCTCATAGTGAGCCAAGCATATAAAAACTGTCACAATATGTTTACATGAAAATGAAAATCTATTTTATTACAAGTGTGTTCTTTTCAGGAATATAAGACAGAGAAAAGTGACATAACAAGTGATTCTTGAAATGATAAGAATGGAGAACATGAAAAAGAAACTGTAGGTAGCCAGGATTCACCTATCATAAAAAGAAAACTACCCAGCATCCCAAAGTCTTTATGGGACTGTGGAATATTGAGAATATGACTCCTTATTCTTCCAAACAAATTTTACATATTTTAGAGCCATCTATGAATTCATCCACCAGCTGCTATTCGTTGTTTGTATTTTTCTCTCATTCATAGTGTGTTGAGTTTCCCACTTTAACAGATGCACTCATTTGAACAGTCACTATTTTAAACATTTTATTCTCCATCATCATAAACCTCCATTAGCTGATATGGGATGGAATACTATCTAGTACAGAGAGAAGCAGAAAGAAAATACAGCATCTAGTTCAAAGTGATAGAATCATCCAAAACTGGGCAACATAAGCATCAAACAAAACAATTCTGCCATGCCTCATTAAATACTACTTTTAGTACATTGTTGACTCACTCAGACAAAAATTTGTTCAAGGGCAACTAAGGTAACAGGATACTCATGTGAAACTGGCTAAGCAATTCCTCTGTATAAAATTGAAGTAAAATGGGAGAAGATGTAAGAAAAGTACCCACCACTGAGCTAAGAGACTCAAGAATAGAACGTATTCTTATCTACACTCACATTATCATCAACTACTTATATAAAACTCAGGACAGGAATATAAACCCAACTAAGAATGGTGAGAGAACAGCACAGAAACAAGTGTCTTGTGTAGAAAACAGACCTACAATGTCTGGTAACAATAGAGATTCCCTGAAGGAGAAATGAAAACTTGGGTTTCTCTACACAAAATGAGGCCTTATTTTGTAATCTAGTTGTTACCCTGGGCATATTGAGAAAAACGACATTTCAACAACATATTCACAAGAAGGTATAAATAACAATACAATGTCTTTCTGTATAAGAGAATTTAGAGCTATAGTGATAATGAGAATGGATACTCCAATAACAGAGAAGTACCTTTTTAGAGTTACAGTCATAACTTTTTGTAAGACTATCCCCCCCCATGCCACCATTGCATGGAGCAGTAGCACTAGATGATGTCTTCTGCAACCATGGTGTCAAATATCTGGTAACATATTTGATGCTCCATTCCGCTTGTGACATTGTAGGACTTGATGAGGCACTCCATCCATGGGTATGCATCTACAGACCAAGAGAGCATGCCATTCAGCCATTAAACTGAGCATAAAACTAGTAATGTTGATAAATTAGAATTTTTTCCAAACCTCAGATGTGAGTAAAAGTTTATAAAACATTTGGCAGTGTTTCGCTCCTTTTCTTGCGCTGACTGCTTAGGGGCCTCCTCTGTTTTTTCCTTGACTAATTAGATAGAGGTGGGACCTGAACTTGAGATCAAGTAATTTTAAGCCCTACCTGTGACCTGCCTATCTGGCAGCAATAATGCCAACCATCATGTTTGGCAAGGAGCAGGGAATGCTCATTTCTAACATCAACAGAAGGCCCTAGTAGGTCTACAAGGCAACTGTTACAGCAATCAACATTGGCCATATATCTGTGTATTTGAAAAGATACCAGGCCCAGAACCTTTTAGTTTTAGAAATCTATGTATACTAAGTGCAATATGCAAGACAAATTAAAATTGAAAACAAATATATGTATCTCAATTAAGCTTTGCTCCAGAAAAAAAAAAAAATTCCCATCTCTTTGGAACTGATGTTACACTGTAGAGACCTATTGTGGAGGAAGAAATGCTAATCAGAAGCAACCTCTAACAGTCCCATTAGTAACAGTGAAGGAGGTAGAGGGGAGATTTGTCACTGTGAACAATTACTAGAACAACTGAACGTCTTAACATAATTCACTTCTCCAGATTCTAACAGAAAAGAAACGCTGGCACAGAAGGACTTAGTGGAAGTGGCTACAATGTCTACACTTTTTGCCAGGGCAAGAGGCAGTGGATGAAGCAGTGTTTGTGCAAAATGGCTAAAGTTCATAAACTTCGCAAAATAAATATAGGAAACTTTGAAGCTCATTAGTACCAGATGAAATCCACTGAGTCAAACATGATTAAGGCAGTTTATTTGAGGACATATTTCTATTAAATAGTGGATCAATTTGGCATACTTGCAGCCTCAATGTTTCTATGTTGTATGTGCAAACTCAGAGTAAAATATGTTGTGATCAAAACTGCTATGCTTTAAATATATTTCAAAATATAGTAAACCTTGTTACTCATATTTATTTTATTTCTGCTGCTATCTCATCAAGACATTGATAGATATTGTTCACACTTAGTAATTCCCAAGGACTCAGTTGGCTTTCTTCCACCCACAGTGTATGGATTAGATACACACTAGGTGCATTGTCAAGGAAGAGGAAGAAGCACCTTTGAAATACTGCCTACCTATTTTTATTCCTGGAGGACAAATGACATTCATAATCCTTTCCAGATTTCTCTGAAGGTCATCATCAGTGAGGACTTCTGATGCTGGGATCTGGAAAAACTTCTCCTTAAAATGATGACAACAAAGGGATATTCATTAACTGAGAAGCGTCCATGCACAGAATTTCAGCAACTAATTTGCTAAAATGACCTATATAGACATCTCTCTGTTAAGGTTGTAGAATTCATAAACTGGAATACTGGTCTAAGCTAAAGCCAATCCTCTTCTTTAATTTTTACCACTTCTCCGCCTCCCGTCTCTAATTAATGATTTTATTCGTTTACATTTCAAATGATGTCCCTTCCTGGTTATTCCTCCAAAATCCCTCTCTATCCTATGCCCCTCCTCTTCCATCCCCTTTGCCTCTATGAGGGTACTCCCCAACACACCCACTCCCACCTCTCCACTCTAGTATCTCCCTATGCCAGGGCAGCAAATCTCCACAGGACTAAGGGCCTCCTCTCCTATTGATGTCAGATAAGGCCATCCTCTGCTACATATGTATCTGGAGCCATGAATCCCTCCATGTATACTCTTTGGTTGCTTGCTTAGTCTCTGGGAGCTCTGTGTGGTCCAGTTAGTTGACCTTGTTCTTTCTATGGGGTTGCAACCCACTTCGGCTTCTTCACTTCTTCCCCTAGCTCTTCCATTGGGGTCCCCTGGCTCAGTCTGGTGGTTGGCTGTGAATGTCTGCATCTGTGTTGGCCAGGTACTGGTAGAACCTCTCAGGGAATAGCCATACCAGGCTATGTCAGCAAGTGCTTCTTGGCATCAGCAATAGTGTGGGCATTTGGTGTCTAGAGATGGAATGGATCCCAAGATGGAGAGGTCTCTGGATGGCCTTTCCTTCATTCTCTGTTCCATTTTTTTGTCCCTGTCTTTCATTCAGACAGGAAAATTTCTGGATTAAAAATTTTGAGATGGGTGGGTGGTTCCATCCCTCAACTGGAGGCCATGCCTATCTATTGGAGGTGGTCTCTACAGGTTATCTCTCACCATTGTTGTGTACTTTGGCTAAAGTCATCCTTGTTGGGTCCTGGGAGCCTCTTGATTCCAGGGACATAGGAACCCCCACCCAGCCAGTGGCACAGGTTCCTTTCTGAGCCTATGCCCTGAGGAGACCTTAGGCACTGGCTCTGCACCCACTCCTACAACACCCAGAGGGAGCTCTACTCCCAGGTGCTCTGAAATCCCGAGGATTACAGGGAAGGCCACAACATCTGTCCCAACACCTGGAGTAACTGGGTCCTCCAGGATCCAGGGACACAGGAATCCCTCACACAGCCAGTGGCAAGGGTTCATTTCGGTTAGAAACTGCACCTAGAATAGATCTGAAGCGCTGGCTCTGCACGTACCCTTAGAACACCCAGAGAGAGGCCGACACCCAGATGCTCTGAAACACCCAGGATCACAGGATCACAGAGAAACCACGACTCCCAGGAGGTCAGGCACACCCAGGAGAACTGGAACCCTGACACACTCAAGATCACAGCTGATGTCACAACAACATCTTTCCTAACACCCAGCATAACTCGGACCCACATAGGAACCAGGGAAACAAAATACCCTGACCAGCCAGAGGAAAGGGTTCCTTCCAGCTTGCACCTGTGCTCTGAGCAACCTCAGGGCTCTGTCTCCCCACTCACCCCTGTAACACCCAGAAAAAGCTTGATTACCAGGAGCTCTGACACAACAGAATCTCAGGAGCTTGGTCACACTAGGATTTCAGGATCCCAAAGACAGTCTGACTCCCAGGAGCTCTGACACACCCAGGATCTAAGGATTTCAGGATCACAGAATGAAATGATTATAGAGAAAGCTTGACTCTGAGGAGTTCAGACAGAATGAAGATCACAGGAGAGACAGGCTCCAGTCAGACACAAAGGGCAGGTAGCACTAGAGATAACCAGATGGCTAGAGGCAAGCACAAGAACATAAGCAACAGAACCTAAGGTTAATTGGCATCATCAGAACCCAGTTCTCACACAACTGCAAGTCCTGCATACCCCATCACACCAGAAAAGTAATATTTGAATTTCAAATCACATCTCATGATTATGATAGAGGACTTTAAGAAGGACATAAATAATTCCCCTAAAGAAATACAGGAGAATACAGGTAAACGGGTAGAATCTTTTAAAGAGGAAACACAAAAATACGTTAAAGAATTACAGGAAAACACAAACAAAAGGTGAAGGAATTGAACAAAACCATCCAGAATCTAAAAATGGAAGTAGAAACAATAAAGAAATCACAAAGGGAGACAACCCTGTAGATAGAAAACCTAGGAAAGAGATCAGGAGTCATACATGCAAGCATCACCAACAGAATAAAAGAGATAGAAGAGAGAATCTCAGGTGCAGAAGATACCATAGAAAACATTGACACGACAGTAAGAGTGTGCCCTTCCCTGGCCTTGAGCAGGCCTGAGAGACCTTGTTTACCACAACAGACCAAGTGATAAGGACCTAGGTGGAGTTATCCACCTCGGCTGCACGGAACTTGAAAGAAGAACTGCCCCTGGGCTTGCCTTGAGACATCTCTGGCCATGACCCTGACCAAGAACGGATTATCCCACCCATCTCTCCTGGCTGAAACTAGGAAGAGTTTGAGTAGGGTCTTTCCCTTTAAATTGAGAGCTGAACATTAAAGCATCGAGCCTTGATCAGAGAACTTTGTCTTGGCTTCATCTTCTCTCACTCTCTGTCCCCCTTTTGTTCCCAGACCTCTTTTCAGGTGAACTCGTTCGACTTGTGGCCGCTGACCAGCTACATAAGAGAAAATGCAAAATGCAAAAAGCTCCTAACCCAAAATATCCAGGAAATCCAGGACACAATGACAAGATCAAACTTAAGAATAACAGGTATAGAAGAGAGTGAAGATTCCCAAATTAAGGGCCAGTAAATATCTTCAACAAAATTATAGAAGAAAAATTCCCTAGCCTGAAGAAAGAGATGCCCATGAACAAACAAGAAGCCTAGAGAACTCAAAGTAGACTGGATCATAAAAGAAATTCCTCATGTCACATAATAATCAAAACAGCAAATGCACAAAACAAAGAAACAATATTAAAAACAGTAAGAGAAGAAGGTCATGTAACATATAAAACAGACTTATCAGAATTACACCAGACTTCTCACCAGAGACTATAAAACCCTGGGCAGATGTTATACAAATCCAAAGGGAACACAAATGCCAGCCCAGGCTACTATACTCAGCAAAAATCTCAATTAACATAGATGGAGAAACCAAGATACTCTATGACTAAAACAGATTTACACAGTATCTTTCCACAAATCCAGCCCTACAAAGGATAATAGATGGAAAATAACAAAAGGAGGGAAACAACATCTTAGAAAATGCAAGAAAGTATCCTTCTTTAAACAAACCCAAAAGAAGATAGCCACACAAACATAATTCCACCTCTAACAACAAAAATAACAGGAAGCAACAATCCTTGATTTGTAGTCTCTTAACATCACTGGACTCAGTTCCTCAATAGAAAGACACAGATTAACACACTGGATATATAAACAGGACTCAGCAGTTTGCTCCATACAGAAAATGCACCTCAGTAACAAACATAGACACTACTTAAAAGAAAAAGGTTGGAAAACAGTTTTCCAAGCAAATGGTCCCAAGTAGCAGGCTGGAATAGCCATTTTAATATTGAATAAAATAGACTTTCAACCAAAAGATAACAAAAAAGATATGGAAGGACACTTCATTATCATCAAAGGAAAAATCTACCAAGATGAACTCTCGATTCTGAACATCTATGCTCCAAATAAAAGGATACCCACATTCATAAAAGAAACTTTAATAAAGCTCAAAGCACACATTACATCTCACACAATAACAGTGGGAGACTTCTATACCCCACTCTCATCAATGGACAGATCATGGAAACAGAATCTAAACAGAGATGCAGTGAAACTAACAGAAGTTATGAACCAAATGAATTTAACAGGTATCTATATAATATTTCACTCTAAAACAAAATATACCTTCTCAGCACCTCATGGTACCTTCTACAAAATTGGTCATATAATTGGTCACAAATCAGGCCTCAAAAGATACAAGAAGACTGGAATAATCACATGTATCCTATCAGATCACCATAGACTAACGGCTGTTCTTCAATAACAACAAAAACAACAGAAAGCCCACATACACACATGGAAGCTGAACATCTCTCTGTTTTTTTGTTTTTTGTTTTTCTTTTTTGAGACAGGGTTTCTCTGTGTAGGGGGGGGAACACATGATCATCATTGGATGCTGAGAAAGTATTTGTCAAAATTCTACATCCAATCATGGAAAGATCTTGGAAAGATCAGAAACTCAAGGCCCATATCTAAACATAGTAAAAGCAATATACAGCAAACCAGTAGCCAACATCAAACTAAATGGAGAGAAACTTAAAGAAATCCCACTAAGATCAGGGACTAGACAAGGCTGCCCACTCTCTATTTATTCAATATAGTACACAAATTCCTAGCCATAGCAATTAGACAACAACAGGAGGTCAAAGGGATACAAATTGGAAAGGAAGATGTTAAAATATCACTATTTGCAGATGACCCCAAAACTTCCACCAGAGAACTCCTAAATCTGATAAACACTTCAGCAAAGTGGCTAGATATAAAATTCACTCAAAAAAATCCTTAACCTTCCTCTACTCAAAAGATAAACAGACTGAAAAAGATATTAGGGAAATGACACCCTTCACAATAGTCACAAATAATATAAAATACCTTGGTGTGAATCTAATCAAGCAAGTGAAAGATCTGCATGACAAGAACTTTTAAGTCTCTGAAGAAAGAAATCGAAGAAAATCTCAGGAGATAGAAAGATCACCCATGCTCATGGATTGGCAGAACTGAAGCAATCTAAGATTCAATGCAATCCCCATCAAAATTCAACCTCAATTCTTCATAGAGTTAGAAAGAACAATTCTCAAATTCATTTGGAAAAACAAAAAACCCGGGATAGCAAAAACTATTCTCAATCATAAAAAAAAAAAAAACCTCAGGGGGAATCACTATCCCTGACCTCAAGCTGTATTACAGAGTACTAGTAATAAAAATTGCATGGTATTGAGTACAGGCAGAGACAGGCAGGTAGATCAATGGAATACAATTGAAGACCCAAAAACTAATTCACACATCTATGGTCACTTAATCTTTGACTAAGGAGCTAAAACCATCCAGTGGAAAAAACAAAGCATTTTCAAAAAACGGTGCTGGTTCAACTGGAGGTCAGCATGTAGAAAAATACAAACTGATCCATTTTTATCTCCTTGTAAAAAGCTCAAGTTCAAGTGGATCAAGGACCTCCACATGAATCCAGATACAAGGAAATTAATAGAAAACAAGGTGGAGAAGAGACTCGAACACTTGGACACATGGGAAATTTCCCTGAACAGAACGCCAATGGCTTATGCTCTAAGATCAACAATAGACAAATGGGACTTCATAAAATTGTAATGCTTCTGTAAGGTAAAGGACAGTGTCAATAGGACAAAATGGTAACCAACAGATTGGGAAAAGATCATTATGTTTCCTGCATCCAATAGAGGGCTAATATCCAATATATACAAATAACTCAAGAAGTTAAGAGTCCAAAGAATCAAATAACCCTATTAAAAATGGGGTACAGAGCTAAACAAAGAATTCTCAACTGAGGAAACTTGAATGGCTCAGAAGCACCTAAAGAAATGTTCAACATCCTTAGTCATCAGGGAAATGCAAATCAAAACAACCTAGAGATTTCTTCTTATGCCATTCAGTATAGCTAAGGTCAAAAACCTCAGGTGACAGCAGATGCTGGTGAGAATGTGGAGAAAGAGAAAGACTCCTCTATTGTTGGTGGTATTACAAGCTGGTACAACCACTCTGGAAAACTGTCTTCCACAGAAAATTGGACATAGTATTACTTGAGGACTGAGCTATACCACTCCTGGGCATATACCCAAAAGATGCTCCAACATATAACAAGGACACATGCTCCACTAGTTCATAGCAGCCTTATTTATAATAGCCAGAAGCTGGAAAGAACCCAGGTGTCCTTCAACAGAGGAACGGATACAGAAAATGTGGTACATTTACACAGTGCAGTACTACTCAGCTGTTGAAAACAATAACTTCATGAAATTCTTTGGCAAATGGATGAAACTAGAAAATATCATTCTGAGTGAGGTAACCCAATCACAAAACAAAAGACATAGTATGCACTTACTGATAAGTGGATATTAGCCCCAAAGCTTGGAATACCCAAGATACAACTCACAGACCATATGAAGCTCAAGAAGAAGGAAGACTAAAGTGTAGATGATTTGGTCCTTCATAGAAGGGTGTACTGCCTGGTTTTGTGTGTCAACTTGACACAGGCTTTATCAGGCTTTGTGTGACAGGAGTTATCACAAAGAAAGAAAGATCCCTTGAAGAAATGCCTCCACAAGATCCAGCTCTAAGGCATTTTCTCAATTAGTGATCAAGGGTGGGAGGGCCCATTGTGAGTGGTGCCATCCCTGGGCTAGTAGTCTTGGGTTCTATAAGAAAGCAAGCTGAGCAAGCCAGGGAAAGTAAGCCAGTAAATAACATTCCTCCATGGCCACTGCATCAGCTCCTGCTTCCTGACCTGCTTGAGTACCAGTCCTGACTTCTTTTGATGATGAACAGCAATATGGAATATTTAAGCTGAATAAACCTTTTCCTCCCCAACTTGCTTCTTGGTCATGATGTTTTATCCAGGAATAGAAGCCCTGACTAAGACAAAGGGGGAACACAACACTAGAGAGAGAAAATATTGAGACAAAGTGTGGACCAGAGACTTAAGGAAAAGCCATCCAGAGCCTGCCCAACCTGGGTATCCATCCCATATACAGTCGCCAAACCCAGACACTATAGTGGATGCCAAGAAGTGCTTGCTGACAGGAGCCTGAGAGGCTCTGCCACAGCCTGACAAATACAGAGCTGGATGCTTGCAGCCAAGTATTGGACTGAGCATGGGGTCCTTAGAGAAAGGACTGAAGGATCTGATGGAGTTTGCAACCCCATAGGAAGAACAACAATATCAACCAAGCAGACCCCCAGAGCTCCCAGGGACTAAACAGCCAACCAAAGAATATACATGGAGGAAACCATGGCTCTAGTTGCATATGTACCAAAGGATGGCCATGTCAGGTCTCAAAGAGAGGAGAAGCCCTTGGTACTATGAAGGCTAGATGCCCCAGTGTAGGGGAATGCCAGGGCGGGAAGACTGGAGTGGGGGAACACCCTCATAGAAGCAAGGGGAAGAAGGATGAAATGGAGGGTTTTGGGAGGGAGGGGGAACCAGGAAAGGGATATGTAAATACAGAAAGTATCCAATAAAAATTTAATTTATAATAGAAAAATCAAAAGCTGTAGACAAAAATATAAGTTTAGATTTATGTGATATATGTCACTCTTACATTTTAAGTTATTTTAAGTCCTTATAAAAAGAACAAAATAAATATAAACCAACTTTTAGGCTTAAAAAGTCTGGATAGGTTTCAATGAAGTAAAGCAAAGATGAATATTAAAGATAATGTAAATTTCAGTTAATTTTTTTTTGTTTTTTGTTGTTGTTTTTTTTTTTTTTTTTTTTTGTGTTTTTTTTTTTTTTAGCCAGATCTGTTACTTACAGAATCCTTGAGGTAGACATTTAATACTCCAGTTCCATCATCAAAAGTGAAAGTCATAACAAACACATACTGTAGAGGTACAATGCCCAGAACTAGTGAGGGGAAAAAAGCACATTATTCCAGGTTGCTAGACTTTCTATTAGGTAAAAGCAAAAGTGGTTTATTACAGTGCATAGGAGTAGATAATGTTTACTGAGAGTATTTATAAGAAATGAAAGCTTTCTTCTCCAGGATCAATTTATGAAAGCTGTCAAATAACAAAATCACTCTGGAATACTCCACCATATTTATGCAGGAGAGGTCTCATGACATAAGGAATTGTATCCTAATACTTGGTAGAAACTACAAGAAATGATTAATACAATGTAACTCATTGCAAGTTACTTATATAAAAAAATAAAATGAAAATCATAGAATATTATTGAAAGCAATACAAAGTTTACTACTGTTAAGTTTATCCCCCTTCATATTATGAGTAAAGTATTCCTTATTACTATCATCATCATCAACAACAACAACAGAGATATAATCTGATTGAAAGAAAAACCACAACAAAATCTGGGGTTCCATAATTTGCTAGGATAAGGAAAATGAAGTTGGAGATAACAAACATATGGGAATTTGCAGTTAAGGCAAACACCTTTTTTCAGGAGTTGAAAATATTGCATGGATGTATGGAACATTTTATTCCCTTCTGTATACATATCCCACATTCCACTAGGAAGATTAATTAAGGAGGCAAGTCAAAACAATATGTTGGAGCACAGAAACAATTGTAATATGCAAAAGCAGAAAGACAGGAATGTAGTTTCAGAAGGTCTCAAGAGTTATACTGGAGCAACCCTAAGGAGGCACACATTCAAAAAAAAAAATGGAGTACATAAAAAGGAATTGCCCATCTCAACAGAAGAAGCTCATGCAAAGCAACATGGGGTCCTACTTGCCCAAAGTGTGATACAGTTGTACGATAAAACAAAAAATAGCACAAGAATCACACATATACATGTTTAGAAAACAAAAATTCAGTCTAGAGAAAATAAGCTGAGGGCTAGAGAGATGGCTCAGTGGTTAAGAGCACTGACTGCACTTCCAGAGGCCTGAGTTCAAATCCCAGCAGCCACATGGTGGCTCACAACCATCTGTAATGAGGTCTGATGCCCTCTTCTGGTGTGTGTGAAGACAGCTACAGTGTATTCATATATAATAAATAAATAAATCTTTAAAAAAAAAGAAAATAAGCTGAATATACAGTTTCATGAAAATAAGAATTCTCAATGTACTTTGAGTTGTTCAAACTAAACCTACAGCTGTCAATGGCTATGAAGGGCAAACTCTGAGAAAAACGTTGGCAAAATAGGCACTTACTGGGGAGACAAAAACAAAATTCATAAATGTGGGAAAGTAACAAAAATGGTAGAGTTCTTGGCTTGAAAAGATAGCCTCAATAGAGGAACAATATTGTGAGATCTACAGAGTGTTTGTTCTTGTGGAAAAGAAAATGGATATCAAATATAATATATAATTCTAGTAGACAGAACACTACTAGTAGACCCACACTAGTAGGAAGATCTAGCTTCACAATTAAGGATAATCTAAAAGTTAAGAGGAAAAGCTTTAAGTACATGCCTTAGAATGTATACTTCTCCTGGAAGCTAAAAACAAAGGCTAAGTAACTAATTGTGTGTACGACAGAAACTCCTTTGTGCTAGCTAAAGACTTGGAGGGCAGTAACAGCTGTCTCTACATCTGTTCTATCATTTAGTATGGATCATAAAGATTTTCTCAGGATCTGGATTTGTGAACAATAATTAAATGGAAACAAGTAGTCAAGTATTGAAATATAATTATAACTACAATGCATGGAAATGATAGCAAACATTTTAAATATTCAGTCCTTATTTTTTATTACAATTGTTGCAAATAGGTATCAGTTAAGAAAAGCTAAGCAAGTTTTGCCATAAGTATTCAGAAATATTGAAATACATATCAATGAGGTAAGAGAATTAAAATTTTAGGATACTAAAAATCTAGCTTACCTTCTGCCACAGAGGAAGGAATCCATAGTCTTTTATTAGGAATGGTACTTAGGTTTTTTATGGGCTTCAAGTTTGAGCACTGTTTACATCTGAAAGGAATAAGAAAAAAATGGTATTTAAATGCAACAAAATTCAGTTAGTTATTACATCTTATTCAAATATAGACAGTTTTAGAAAGTCAGCTATCAAACAGAAGGCACATCACTGTTACACTGTAATGTGCTTGTTTCAAAAGAATTATGATTAATTTACTACATAAAAGCGATAAAAGATATAATGCGTGTGGTAGTTCATGAGAATGGCCCTCATAGGCTCATATATTTGAATGTTTGTTCTCCATTTGATAAAACTATTTAGGAATGCTTAAGAGGTGTGGCCTTGTTGGCAGAGATATGTCACTGGGGGTAAGTTTTAAACTTTATTTGCCTCTTTCTACAAGACAAAGATAGAGCCTCGAAGCTACTGTTCCAGTGCTACGTCAGGCTATTTTGTACCTTGATTCCTGTCATAGTGACTGTGGACTACCACTCTGAATCTACAAGCAAGCCAGCAATTAAATGCTTTCTTTTCTAAGTTGCTTTGGTCATATCTCCTTATGACCAGAACAGAAACTTAAAAAAGAAAAAAAAATGAGCTTCAGGATAAATAACTCAAAGTTGAGAGCCAGAACTGGACTGCTTGTCCAAATCATTAGATAAGTTGACTATTAATTTTCTTATCTGTTAAAACAGAAAAGAAACAGAAGAGAAGTTGGAGGAACTCTGAAACAATATCTAATGGTTACAGTTTAAAAAAAAAAACTAGTCAATGAGAAAAAATTATTCTTCTGAATGAACTGTGAGTACAAGGAAGATTTCCAGTAAAATAATATTTTGAGTGACCACATATTCAGAAGCATCATGCCTGGAAGTCAGTTACTGTCTGAAATGTAAGGACATTTGAAACAAGAACATCCCTAAAACTGGATGTTATTGATTAAAACTTGTCCCCCTGATACATCAATACATTTAAGCATGAGTAAATATATCCTTATTATGCATTATCTAATGTGCATGTGATGTAGGGAAAAATATATTTGAATAAAAGTTAGTACTCAAGAGTTCCTGTAATTTATGAACTGGGAAAAGCAGGGGTGACTACTGTCCAGTTTATCACTTAATCATCAAATATATAGGTATTTCTTCACTAACAGCAGTAATGATAATGTTATAAACTGATAGACCAAGTTCTTATATAACCTTTGGTGTCCTGATTTAGACTTAGGTACTCTATAGTAGGAAGATAGGAAAAGAAGAGAGAGAAAAAAAACAAGAAAAGATTATATAAAAAGCAAAACCTTGATAAATGGACTTATTCAAAGGAGAACACAAAACAATGGGTTTAGACATTTCAATTACGTGGTCTATAAACCTTGCAGGCCATTTAAAGATATAATACATGCTCATAGAAATTAGCTAGAAACATTTGTTTTTATTTTATGGCTAAAGTTGTTCACCCATTCTATATAAAACAAAACCAAAGGCAAAGCGCACAATCGAGTAGCTATGATAAGAGAAATATTTGTTTGTTATTTGTTTTTGAGAATTTCAGGCAAATACTTGATTTTTTTATTGGTTAGAATAAAAGTGACTGAATGGACATTATTTACCTCTAATTGCCCACTTGGTCAGTTAAAGCTAAAAAAAAAAAAAACCAATCTCTATCAACACTACAATGATCTCTTATTGAACTAGGAAACTACTAAGGCACCCTCAATAAACCTTTCTCTAAATTCTTTACTAAATACTGATAATGTAATTATGACTTAAAATCACTAGCTGTACTTTAAAAATAGTTAATATAATTCAAAGTATTATTTTATTCATATGCAATAATACAAAAACATCACTTATTAAAGAAAGTTTACTATACCATATGTTCAACATTTTTAAATATTTAACATTTTATTGATTTTTTGTGGTTTTCATATCATGTACCCCAATCCCCAGCATCTCCTTGTCATACCTATCCTTGCAACCAACCCGCAAAAGAAAATTCTCATTGTGGAAGTTGTTGTGTGCCACACAGTATACCCTTTTGTTCACAATTCTTTACTTGCAAATGTTCACTGCAATGTGTCACTGCTCATTTGAAGCCTCTGGCTTTGCTACAATATTACTGGATCCTCACCAAGATTCTTCACAGATATGCAATTGTTGCCCTATGTCATACTGATTCTGCATTTTTGGATCTATAGGGCTGGCCCCTTCATGTGCTCCAGCATTTCATATATGGGGTAGATGTTGGTGTGGACCAAATCAAAGCCCTGATTTTAGCCATGGGTGGTGGTAGCTACGTTGCTCAGCTCACCAGCTCTCCAGTTCACCAAGGTGGGCTCTGCTGAGGTTTGATATTTTGCTGTGTATTGTAATGCTAAGTTTGGACCCCCAAGACATTATTGCTACAGAGATGAGAGAGTTCGCAGGTAGACCCAAGTGAGCTATACGACTTTGTCCCCAAGCTATTTCTGATTGGTGAATAAAGATGCTGATAGCCGATAGCTGGGCAGAAGACACATAGCCAGGTATAGGGTTGGAGAATTAAGGGGGAAAAAAGGTAAGGAGGAAGGAGAAGCCATCATGGGTTAGCTGAGTCATGAAAATATGGCCATGAGGACTGGCTAATTGGAGTTAAGAGCAGCCCAGATGTAATATAGTAAGTAATAACTCAGGGTTATCAATAGGTAAGTAGATTCGAATAGCATAACAGATAGACATCTGCCCAGCTCTAGTGCTGATTAAAGATTATTGTAAATATAAAGGTTGTGTGTGTGTATGTATGTTTTATCTGAGGAATTGAATGATCAAGGTGGGGTAAAAACCCTGGATCGGTTAAATTTTTCTACAACACAGTTCTCCATCACTTCCCTGGCTAGCTCACCCAATGGCAGAGCCAGCAAGGAGTAGAGCCAGCTCTCCAGCTTTCATGACCTTGCCCCACCCCCCTCACCCACTGTGCTGCCTAAGAAAGATGCTAGGCCCACTCTCAGTATTAGCTCTGTACTGCGTAGTCAGCAAGGGGCAGAGACAGCTTTCCTCCTCCCATGATCTCAGGCCAGCTCTTCCAGATGCCTCCCCTGTGGACCCTTATTATCTACAGACTAGAAAAGATCAAAACTCAAGATTCTCAAACCACAAAGAGCAGTCTGCTGAACCTATAAAAATTTGTACCGCAATCATAATAGCTTGAAGACTTTGTATAAGTAGGAACTGGCACAATTAAGTATCAACTGAGCATAGAATAGGGTAAGCAATAGCAGCTAAGCAATGGAGGGTAAGGAAAAGAGACACAGTTGAATTGCCCAGATACCCCAAAGGAACACACACCCATAGTGACACACTCTTCCTCGTATGAGGAATGGTGCTGCAAGATTTAGGAGCTCCAGGTCCTCAGGGCCAGACCTCACAGGGATCACACTGTGAAACATGCTTGACAATTTAGAGATTTCACAGATCCGTCCTCCTGTTAAAAAAGAAAAAAAAAGAAAGAAAGAAAGAAAGAAAGAAATTCTCAACCAGCAAACAGAGAATCAGAACAAGATACAGGATATATTGGAGTTACAAATTTCAAAGAAAATTTGAACTTTGCATGACAAAGAAAAATATAAAATTACATAATAATTAGATGCAAAAAGTACAGAAATAAATAGCACGATTCCAATCTCAGAGTTGTCATATTAATATGCCTTTTCATGGCTCCTTTCTCTGACTCAGGTATCTTCAGTTGAGAATTTTCATCCAAGTATTATGACTCAACAATGAAACCCAGAGGCTAACAGATTGACAGCTTCACATAAGCACTTGGCCAATGTAATAGATCCACTGAGTTGATTTTATTACAGACAAGAATTTAACAAAATATTGAAATAAAAAAATGTGAGTTTAATACATAATTTGAAAATGCAATTCAAATAGGTGTGTACGCTCATATATATTTGAATCTAGTATACTGTCTTGAGAAACTTAATTAACAGTACATTTACTTCATAAGTTGGAGGTGTACATAAGATGACAGTAATAGGAGAACATGTGCAAAATAATATTTAAAACACCCAATACCAAGTGTCTTACCTTCTATCAAAACTAGACATTCACTTGAGTGAGGAAGGATGCCATCATTTTTTACAAAATGCACAGCAACCTGCCGTCCTCCTTGGCCTTCTGTGCTCCAGACTTTTGAGTCATATAATGGTGTATCTTGCAGCTTGCAGTCTGGAGGTGTGACTGTAGCATCTTGCAAAATTTTATCCACATTTTCTTCATATGGAATTTCTTGCCTAAAATGATTGGTAACAAAATATCAGCAAACAATTTAGGTATATTTACAACAATTCCAATGTAATAAATTACTCAAAAAGAAAACTAGTTTAGTGGCTGAAGAGATGGCTCAGTGGTTATAAGCACTTGCTTCTCCTTCAGAGAGAACCGAGTTCATTTCCCAGAACCTACATGATGACTTAAAACCATTTGTAACTTTAGTTCTGAACTTTGTGAGCACCAGATAAACACATGGTACATATACATACATGTAGGCAAAACACTCACACAGAAACACAAATAACCTAGAATGAATTTAAACTCTATTTTATATGCAGATTAAACCAGCTAACCTTTCCCGAACTAAGGAGATAATTCATTTTCCAGATTTAATATATTTCATTCAAAAGGTGTTTAACATTTTATGCATAGGAAAATACATAACATAATCATAGAGATTCTGTGTGGATTCATACGTGCCATAGTACATGTGTAGAAAAGACAATCTCCTATAATGTTGGTCAGAAGGACTTCACACAGGTCATCAGACTTGGCAGCAGGTGTCTTTACCTGTTGATCCATCACTCTGGCCCATACCAAGTGTAGAGTCCAAGATGACCTACAGTTATTCTCAGTCCCAATCTGTTGTCCTTTACAAGTAGCCATGTCTTCAACCCAATTAATCTCACTATCACAGTAAAACTACTTTAAAGCATTATTAACATCATTTATTGATAACAGTTAGTAATGCACACTTGTCGGGAACCAACTCTTAGCCGAAAGTGGCTATCATCTTTACAGCCATCTCGAGCCATATACCCTGACAGAGACTTGCTTTCAAAAGCCCACAACAGCTGAGCACACTCTGATAAACATCTTGTTACACTGTTTAGTGCCCCCAGCTGCAAAGTGCACATGGTATCCATGGCTACAAGGCATGTGACGTAGTGCCTTCAGTTGAGCTTGTCTACGAGGGCAAGTCACGTGGTAAAGGGTATAAACACCCAGGATCTTTTTTTCAATAAAGAAAAAAAAAAGACACTTGACCAGACTCTGTCTTGTATCCATCTTTTGCATCTCTCGTTCCTCGGTCCCCAGTCTCTCTCTTGCTAGACCCTGACCTGTGGACCGGAGCAGCAGAACGGGCCATTACAAAGTAGCAGAACCGGCCATTCTAAATAAACGGGCCATTCCAAAGGAATGGGCCGTCACAAAGTAGTGCTCAATACTAGGCAGCAAGAACGAGAGACCCAGTGAGGGTCATTACTGGAATAAGGGTCGACTGAAAATTTAGAAGTGAAACAGAGGTGATTGCTCCAGAAAACTGCCATATGGAGACCAGTAGGTCATAGTAATGATAATGGGGCAAGAAATAAGTCAGCCTGAACTCAACTCTCTCTTTCTGTTCTGTTGCTTGTTGTTTATGTGTGTCAATTGTCTGCTTTTGTTTCGCTATTTAAATGCTGTCTTTCACGTCCAAAAGAAAGAGAAACACATAGTATCCAAAAAACTACCAAAGGTTGAAGTAATCAATTTGTCAGAGCCAGATTGTGCTGACCAAGAGGAAGAGGCAGCGAAATATTTTGACCCTGAATGGTCTTCTTCCTGAAGGCCCCCTCCCTGTGCTCCTCCACCTCCAGATGCTCCTGCTATGGAGATGGTGGTTGTAGATCACAGAAAGGAGTTCCAGGAAAAAATTTCTCTTCTTAACAAATTTCTCTTCTTAAACAACAAATAGAGTTAGAGGAAGAGTATCAGGACTTAGTTAATCAGCTACAAAAATTAAAGGCAGGGAAGAGGTCTCGAGAGGGCAAGGAAAATCCCCCAGGTCCTTGAGTTCCTCAACCTGGAGTCCAAACGCAGCCCTTGTCCTCTGGTTTTAGTTCAGCCACAGATCAGCCAGAAGATGGAGAGGTTAAGGTTTTCCTTGTATCAGAGACTAGAGACGCTCAAGGGGTTTTGTGGAGACATTACACAGGGTTTAATTTTTCAAATTATTAAAAAATTAAAAATTCACTGTCATGATACAGTGCCACTGCTCCCTTTACTCTTGCAATCTTAGAATCTGTTGCAGAGGAGTCGCTGACTTCTGATGATTGGGATACTCTAGTGAGAGCAGTTCTTAGCGGTGGTGACCATCTTATTTGGAAATCAGAGTATCATGAGAATTGTAAAGAGACAGCTAGGAGAAACATTCAGGCAGGCAATGGTTGGTCCTTTGATGCCTTAGTAGGAGAAGGACAATTTGCTTCTAATGATAACCAGATGCAATATGAACCAGGCTTATTTGCTCAAATTCAAAATGCAGCCATGAAGGCTTGGTGCAAACTCCCAGTAAAGGGAGACCCTGGTGCATCTTTGACCTCAGTCAGACAAGGGCCTGACAAACGATTTTCTGATTTTGTTCATCAATTAACAACAACAGCAAGGAAGATTTTTGGTAATGCAGAGGCAGATGTAGATTATGTGAAACAACTTGCATATGAAAATGCCAATCCTGCCTGACAAGCAGCCATTAGACCCTATAGGTAAAAGACAGACCTTACTGGGTATATCAGACTCTGTTCTGACATAGGGCCCTCCTACCAACAGGGCTTAGCTATGGCAGCTGCCATGCAAGGACAATCAGTAAGAGATTTTTGGGCAAGTAGAGACAAAAAGGCTTGTTTTAAATGTGGCAAGCCTGGACACTTTGCAGAAGACTGTAAGGCAGAAAATGAGTTAACACTGAGACAGCCTAGAAAACATCCTAGCCTATGCCCATGTTGCAAACATGGAAGGCATTGGGCTAGTGAATGTAGGTCCAAGACAGATGCACAAGGAAACACCCTTACCCATAATCAGGGAAACAGGAACAGGGGCCAGCCCCAGGCCCCTAACCAATACAAGCCAAAACAGGCTTATGGGGCAGTCAGTTTCATACCAGCAAACAACAATCCCTTTCAGAACTTAGTTAAGCAACACCAGGAAGCCCAGGACTGGACCTCAGTTCAGCCACCCGCCCAGAAATGAGACCATAGGCCTTACCCACTGGAGTGTTTGGACCACTCTATCCAAATGTGTTTGGCCTGATAGTGGGAAGAAGCAGTGCTATTATGCAGGGACTACAAATTTTTCTTGGAGTTATAGACAATGATTATCAAGGTGAGATTAAGGTAATGGCCAAGGCAATATAGTCACCATTCCTACAGGAAGGAGGATAGCTCAAATATTGTTACTTCCATTGATTCCTACTAATCACATATATAAGAGTCCTAAGAGAGGGGACCAAGGCTTTGGTTCCTCTGATGTATACTGGGTACAGCCTATTATTAAACAAAGACGTATGATGACAATATTGCTTGACAGGAAGGCATTCTGAGGCTTGGTTGATACAGGAGCTGATCTGACAATCATCAAAGCTATTGGCCCACCACCTGGCCTCTGATCCCAACCTTAACCAATTTAAGGGGTACTGGCCAAAGCCAAAATCCACAGCAAAGCTCTAAGGTGCTGACATGGAAAGATAAAGAAGGAAATACAGGGAATATACAACCCTATGTCATCCTGGGCCTTCCCATTAATGACTGATTAAACAAATAGACATAATAACAAATCCAGGGATAAGAAACCCCCTGAGAAGCAAATTTTTTTTACAAGAAACATGAAGATGCTTCACAATTGTCCTCAAACTGGAGCAGATCAACCAGTATACTTGACTTGGGAAATTCTCAGTATGGAAGAAGACATCACCACCCGAGCCTCCAGGGTGGCTCTATTAGACTCTTGGTTCCCTGATTTATGATTTAGTGGGGTACATTGTTTAAACCCAAGAAAGAACCCATTACCATAGTTACTATAGTTGTTTTTTTGGTTTGAGATTGATTGGGGCAGGGACAGGGATTTTCTTTCTTGTTTTGTTAAGATCAAAGCTATGATCAATTCTGTACTTATATAGGTTAGATTTAGAAAATAGTGTTACAGAATAGAAGAGGCTTATACTTTTTAGTCCTCCAACAGAGGGGGTTATGTGCTACCCTTAAAAAGAGTGTCGCTCTGAGGCAGAACGGTTTATATTCAGGCATTGTTAAATCTCTTGTCTGTCAGGTACTGATGGCTTTCATACAACAATAGATAGGCGCTATTCAAATGAAACCAATACAGGTCCATTATTACAGGCTGGAAGTAGGGGACTAAAACCTCTGTCATCAAGACTGACGAGGATTAACCCCTAACTTATGCGCTAAGCCAGACAGTCAATGACGGGTAAGAGAACACTTCAAGACCCTTGCCTCTAACTGGGAGGCCTCACCATCCTAAGACAGGAGTTCAACCAATGGCTGTTGAGTATCTGGAGACGGGAAAGGGAGGCTGGGGTCCTTCGTTCCAACCTAAGACAGGCACGGTTTCCATAAGTTTTTCTGGAGCAGCAGAACAGGCTATTACAAAGTAACAGGCCGTTACACACACTAGTCACATAAACTACCATACAAAAACACCATGGCTTAGAATTAAAAGGCTGAATTGTTTATCCTGATTCTGTCACCAAATGGCCTTGCAAGTTTAGGTAATCTCTTATACTTGCTAAGATAATTATTTGTCTAGAAGGAAATCATAGCATAGCTTTATTTTTGAAGAATAATATAATACTGTGGTATTAAATGAAAGATAATCTGGTATTGTTTTACAAATTATCTCAAATCTTCCTAACACTTTGAGTTTATGATCACATGGGTAGAAAACACATTCCTCAATGTATTGTCTGTTTCTTTTGCAATCTAGACCCTGTATTTTCTTTTTGTATATTAGGCCATGAAATCATAATGGAACATGCTTAGCAGCTCAAGGTCCTTCCATTAGTCCTGCTGAAGTGTACTTCTCTGGGTAGTGCAGGCTGGCACTTCAGCTGATCCCAGGTGAGCATCTCCTTGACTTCCACTTTCCTCTGAACATTCTCCTTCACCCACTTCAGGAATTTGTCTCAGCTGTTTGAGTGCTTAATGTGCTCAATTCCCACATTGATCATTTTGGTCGAAATCTTGACATTAATCTGCCTGTTTACAATGATGCCTTCCTATAGCAAGTTGAGTGACATCATAGACTCTTCCAGTTTTGCCATGGTAACATTTATGGGATATTCCTTTTTGAACAGTGCCCATGTCTACAATATCACTTTTCTTGTACATGTTCACACGTTTCCTAAAAGGTCTAGAGAGCACATAGTGAATGCCATTCCTCTTTCCCTTTGAGTCAGAGATTTTGTTGAGTTACTGGAAAATGCTTGCTGTGGCCCAGCTATCTTAGTTTTTATTAAAAGGATTTAATGATTAACTTTTGTCTCAATCACTGCAGTTTCAAATTTTGTGAGGCAAAAAAATACATAAATTGCCCAAGAGAGATATTATCAAACAACAAGCAAATACACAAATATGTAGATATACATGTGACAGCACAACACAGTAAAAGCCTGATGGATGCTATACCAATGTGGATGATTGTGTACTTCATGTAATTTCCAAAATGCGTTTCTGTATTTTGAAGGACTATGGCACATTGTATTGAAACAGAAATCAGGACTTAAAACTCTCTATGTAAACATGTTTGGAGACAAATATGTTAATAAGAATAAAAAAGTTCTATATATTTTTGTACTTACATAATAATTGGTATTTGTAATGAAAGCATTAAAGTTGTTAACCATGACAAGAACTTTTGACTGGTGTCTACCATTCCTACTAAACGTTAGATTTAAAGTCTGAAACTACCTATTTTTACTTATTATTACTTTTAGTATAAGTCCAAACTCAGTGATGTCACATTCAGGTGCCAGGCGACTTCTACATCATTGCCAAGGCAAACAAGATAACATGCCTACAATTCACTTGGCTACCTCACCTGTACCTGGGTCATTGTCCTTACAAATAGGCAGAACTTCCCTGACTGCACTCTCTTCTCTTCTTCCCCTCTCCCCCACCATCTTCTCCCACCTCTCTCTCACCCACCACCCTGAATAAACCCCCTCCCGTGGAACCGGCTGGTTTGCTATGGTCTGTTCTAAGCCGCTGCGAGGCTCGCCAAACTTCTACCATGTGAGCTGTGCTGCCCGCGTGGTGCCCTGCCTTGTGGGCTGGGTGGGAAGACAGGCATGCAGATCCCCCGGTTCCACCTTTCCTGATACTAGACTGCACAAGCTCTCATGCACACACTGGCATTTTAATCGGTAAGGAGTTTCTGGTTGGTGGGAAGGACCCTGGCGCCCGGTTAATGCCTGGCAAGTGCTTCCTGGACTAAGGGGTTGGCTTTTCAGGGCCCCAGTCCATATGACTGTCCTCTAGCCAATCTGCAACTTAGGACATTGGCCCCTTGGGTGATTTTTCCCTCTCAGAAATAGCTCCCCCCTCCCCCACAAGCTCTCAAAGCTGTCAGATGTCCTGGTACCAGGAGGCTACTTCCTGGCTGACTAGCTTCTGGTGGGCTAGCTTGGCCAAGGCCCTTAGATAGTCTCATGAAAACCTGATTATCTAAGCTGGGCCTGCTTCATTACCAGTTTTTCTTTCGGGACGCCTGCTGATAACTTGGTAACAACCATGATCACCCAATGGGTGCATTGTCTTCGTCCATACCCATAGACACCCCACTGGATTGTCTACTGTAAAACCTCAAATCTTTAGGATTAACACCTGAGTTGACACCTTCCAAATTGATACGCCTTTGCAATAAGGTCTGGATTTGGTACCCTTTAGGTAATGGGCTAACGTGGCCACTTAACGGCACACTAGATCCGATTATTTTAAGGAGTCTTAACACATACTGTCAGAAGTCGGGTAACTGGAAAGAAGTCCCTTATGTCCGAGCATTCATCTACCTCTGTTATACTCCCTCCATGTGTTCTGCCTGCTTCCCACCAAAGGTTCTCTCAGCCATGACACCTGCCCAACCCCAAGATGACCACACACCTCTGGACCCAGCTGATGAACCTCCTCCCCTCTGACAAAGGCCTGTTTCAATGCCTCCGAAAACCCAAACTGCTGGCTTGGTTTCTTCTTCTCACCAGGGTGCCTCTGAGTCCACTGGCTCGACCTCCCCAGGTCCCTCCCCTCCTTCTGTGTCAGCTACAGTCCATACCAACTGCCCTGCATTGGCACCAACTTTCACCCTTCCTATCACGCGTTCCAAGACCAAGGGTCCAACTCCTTCTCCTCCAGGGACACCAAAACCAGCGTCTGTTCTTCCTCTAAGGAAAGTGGCTGGCGTTGATGGCCTGGTCAGGGTACATGTACCTTTCTCACTGAGTGAACTCTCTCAAACAGAGAACAGACTGGGGTCCTACACCTCTAACTCATCTGCCTTCATCAAAGAATTCCAGTACATCTCTCAGTCTTACAGCCTAGCTTTCCATGACATACATACGATTCTCACTAAATAACTTACTTCCTGATGAACACAGGTGAGTTTGGGATGAGGCAAAAACACATGCAGATCAGATTCATCAAACAGATGGGACATATTCAATCGAATTGAAAGCAGTTCCTGACCAGGATCCTCGATGGGATTACAATTCCGAAGGTGGTATCTTAGCCAGAGATAGATTTATAACATGTCTTTTGGCAGGCCTGAAGAAGGCAAATTTAAAGCCAGTTAACTTTGAGAAACTCTAAGAGGTTGACCAGGATAAACAGGAAAATCTGTCTCAGTTCTTAGAACGCCTTGCAAAGACCTTACTGCAGTACACTAATCTGGACCCTGAAAATCCAGAAAAACTTCCCAAGTTTCTCAAATTCTATCTAAGGCCCTAGACATCCCCTGGCATTTTCATATTCCCTACCACCCTCAATCTTCAGGTAAGGTAGAGAGAACTAACTGCTCTTTAAAAACCACTCTTTTCAAGTTGTCACAGGAACTTCACCTCGACTGGGTAAAACTCCTACCTCTGGCTCTTTTCAGGCTACGAGCCCTTCCCAAGCGGCCTCTCCTTCTCACCCTTTGAACTCTTGTATGGAGTCCAGTCCTAACTCCTGGTCTTTCACCTAAATGTTCCCCCCTCCCAGACATTTTTCTCACCCCATTACTTTGCCACCTCCGTTCTGTCTTGTGGAACTTTGCTGACTGCTATCTACCTCGACCACACATTGTCTCCTGTCCACTGCCTGTCAACATTGGAGACCAAATGCTTCTCTCCCCTCCAGATCACCGGCCTCACCTATCTCTCCCAAACCAGGGTCCTTTTAAGGTAATCCTTTTGACCCCCTACAGCTGCTAAACTTGAAGGATTCCACCATTGGGTCCGCTTGTCTCACCTCAAGCCTTTCATTTCTCCATCTAAAATCAACTCTCCTTCATACATGTCGACTCTAACAGGACCATGCTCTATTAAGCTCCAGAGGACATCAAGATCACCCACCTTGTCCTCAATTCCAGAAAATGAGACTCCACTCCGGCAGCCGAGCTCGACCTCACTGGACTAGACATGTGTTTCTCGTCCTCCCTCTGCTGTTTGTTTCCATCCACGTCAGTCTTTACATCTGGATGTATGAGGTTCAAGAGACACCCACAGGTAACAAACAGTCTTTCCAAACAGGGTCAGGAAACTGCTCCATAGCCAGATGCCAAGAACCAATCCAAATTGTCACCATCACTATATCTGTTATCCCATCTAAATATTATGTTCTCTATACTTGCTTTCTTCTTGCCCAGATAGAAGAGTATTGGTCTTTTCAGATACATATGCTAGGTTCATGGACCAACCACTTCTTCTACCAACACTGCAAGACACTCATTTCTACATACAAGATGTGCAAGATTCCAGCTGTGATGCTTCAGAACTGACAGATGCCAGGTGTCCTGACAGCTAAAGAAAATGGTCTTTGCCAGTTCTCCCAAGAAGAATGCCATTTTGGGGGCATGTGAGACCTCCATTTCAGATACTCTCCTGTAACACCCTTTTTGCCATCCTCCTGGTATTATTTCTAACCAATTTATTAATCAGTTCTTGTTACAGGATTACCAGTTGCTGTCCACAGAAGAACCTGATACACACATCCACCGAGTGGGCCCCGATGGTGAAAATGCCAGCTGCTCCCCTCAACGGACTATGCCCCTACACAGCAGGAAGTAGTTTAAGAGACATGGCACCCCAACTGCTCTTTCACCATTGGCTTCCTCTCTCCTTTTTTTCTTTTTTATATTAAGAAAAAGGGAGGTATGTTAGTATAAGTCCAAACTCAGTGAGGTCACATTCAGGTGCCAGGTGACTTCTACAGTGTTGTCAAGGCAACCAAGATAACACTCCTACAATTCACTTTGCAACCTCACCTATACCTGGGAAAAAGAGCTATGTCATTGTCATCTTCCCTACAAATAGGTGGAACTTCCCCCAACCTTGCAGTCTTCTCTTCTTTCCCCCTCACCCCCCGCCATCTTCTCCCACCTCTCTCTCACCCTCCACCCTGAATAAACCGCCTCCCGTGGAACCGGTTGGTCTGCTGTGGTCTGTTCTAAGTTGGGCGCCATAATCTTTCAATTACTAAGAACAATTCAAAAAGATTTAAGTATTTTCCCTTTCATTAGCATTATTTTAGAATGCTATAAATTAAATCATAGCTTATTCATTTCTCATGAGTTAAAACTACATACACACACGTAAACACACACATACATATGGGTATGCATATATACAAACAATATTACATGAAACTTTTGTTTAACTTTAGAAAATACTTACAATAAATGGCATTTAGGACAAAGAAGTTTAACAGACTGTAACAGTGTTCTGGGCTTGTATGATCTTAGCTTTGCTCTGATTCGATATATTCGAGGAGCTCTTTGCTTCAAAATGGCACACAATGATGTCTTCTCTAAATAATGGTAATTTGTAAGTGCTGTAAAGAATTTTTACATTAAGTCAGAGTAAACAAGGTATGGGGTCTTAGGTATGTTCAGCATAAATTTCCCTAAAGCAAATGTATACTATAAAATCAAATTTACCTCAGCTATGGTCACAATATTTCCAGATGTGCATGTAGGCCCATGAATGCAGGGCCAGGCATATAATAGACACCCTGGTGCTAAGTTACTGAGGCAAGGGATATTTTAATTATATAATGGGTATATAAGTACTTCTATATAGAACTAGTAGAAATTCTCAGGAAATTCTAACAGGGAAAAACAGTGGTGTTTACTTCAGCAAGAAAATGAATGTATAAAAAATGTCAATTTCTTAGACAACCAGTGCTAGGCAACAACTTACTTTCTAACTGGAATTTGATTAAGAGATGTTGACAAAACAGATTTGTTAAACATTACATGTCACATGGGCTCTTGACCTGGATATTTCAAACTCAAGACTGTATTGAACTTTCCTTTTGTTCAGGAGTTAGAACCTGAGAATGGAAAGGGTTACTAGGGTAACCCAATTATCACAGTGATGCACAGAGTTTGAAAGAGAAGGGATTTATGTTGTAGACAGAAAGGGGAGATGATGGGGGAATATGGAAGAGAGAAAGAATTTAGACTCACAACAGCAGAGAAGCACGAGATCAGAGCGAATGACTGAGAAATAGAAAATTGGAAGGTTTCAGTGGGTGGAATCAGTTTACTCTAAATAGTTTAGTAATGCAGGTGTTATGTAGCATTTTGAATATTCTAGGGTGACACTACCCTCTTTTAGAAAACAGAATTTAAGCATAGCCAAGCAAGGCTCAGACATCCAGGTAAATAGGTTCTGATCACAGCTTTAATGCAACAAAACCCTCACAGACATCTCCTTAGAGTTGTAAATGGCTGAGAATTTATAGTAAAATACTTCCTTGCTGGGCACATCTGACAAATCTAAAATAAAATGAAACACTTGTTTCACTTCACATTCTAGGGTAATATGTTAGAAGTTTTACACTTTGTATTACTTTCAAACTTCAATACAAACAATGATATTGTAACGACCTCCTGAATATACTTTAAAACAATTTACAAATAGTTTTATACTGGTACATTTACTCTATACTTTGGGTGTACACTTATCTCTGTCTCCCAGTGACCCAGGTGTTACTACATTACTGGGAACAGCCTCTAGAAAATTATGTCCTGATTCCCCCAAAACACATTAATATTTCATGAATTCAATTTATTTCCTTTACATTGTTACAGTGCCCATTTCAAATAATTAACAGACTTAACCCCATTATGGGATTACCAGATACTTAACTCTCTCCAAATGTCTTTTGACTATCTTCGATAATCCTAAACAATGCATATTTATCTTTCATGTATCCAGATGTCAACATCAAATCTTTAGTCTACTTATATGTTTGCCTTATGACACTGACTTGAAAAGTGCACCTACTTATTTTGCTGAGTACACATTCATTTAGGTGTGGCTAGAATTTTCTCACTCTGAGATGTCGATCATGAATTTTTGGCATAGAGACTTCATATGTAACACCGAACTTCTCAATGCATCCAATAAAAAGTCTATGAGAACACACCTTCTCCTCTGGGGAGGGGAACCAGTACAGTTGATTAAAGGATGTTCAACTTAACTGTATTCTGACCTAATTTCTTACTCTTGTAACTAGCAGAGAGTAAATGTGTTATTCTTTAATCAAAGCTTTAGAATCTAGTAGTTTAAAACCTGATTCATGATTCACAATCAAAACCATAATTACCATCATGATGGCAAAATGGTATTATATTATTATTTTTTATATTTATTAGTCATTCTGCCCTACAGAGTTTTCTATTCAGTTCATTTTATTTCCTCATTAGCAAGCAGAGTTCATATATTTTGGCTTTACTCAATGAATTCTAACCCATCACTAACATTGCTTTGATAATTATCATCACATTGTCCCAGATTCGATATTCTCTATTAGCCAAGAATGTCTTTAATGTCTAGAAAACTAGAATGTTCTTGATTTATATCTAATTCTCTTATCCTAATTGTGAAATCCTCTTTTTTTTTCTCCAGAGATACCTGAAATATTTCCATAAACCAAGTTTATTATTTCCATATAATATCTAAAATCTCAGAATAAGTCATCTTTTATTCCAATAAAACCTGAGATTTTAGTCTTCAGTTCCATATTTACATCTCCTTTCTCCAACAGGAGAAATTCCTTCCATACAGCAGTACATATTTAATGAACAATTTAATAAAATTCTGATCACTTTTTTTACATAAAAAGCTTTTCATCAACTTAACTGAAATAATAAGGATATAGCTGAAAGATATTTACTATCACTGTTAATATTAAACTTTAGGATAATAGGATAGAGAGTTTCTTTATGTATACAATATTAACATAGTATATAATTTTATTAAAATTAATATCAAAGTAGAAGTTATACCATTAAGCTAACAACACATCTGATGCCATGAATTTTATAAATTTTAATAGTATGTAACCTAAATACATATTCATTATAGAGAAATGTACATGTATGAGTTCTATCTTACACCACTGCAGGATGAGGCATGAGAATAAAAGCTAAATACAAACATTGAGTGTTCCCAGGAAGATCTACTGACACTGATGAGTCTGATGGGATTGGCTCAGAAATGCACAGACAGGCATCTATAGGTGGGTGACTACACTGGAAAAGGCCTTACTTGTAGCACAGAGTTGTTGACATCTTTCCACCTCACACAGGGAAACTAAGTCCGATTCAGAGCCTACAGGAAGAGAAAAGGAATCGCAGAATACATATAGCTCTGTAAAATATGATTCAGAAATTTAACGTAAAACTGAAACTATAGAACTCTATCTAGAGATACTGAAGAAAGGCTAAATAAATGCTCCAATGGCTTTTTCTCCCAATTTATTTGCAGATTCATCATAGGGCTAACCAAAGTTACACAGGGTTAGTCACTAAATTTGATAGGTACCATCTCTCCTTTTTTTTAAAGGGGAAATGTAAGGAATTTAGCATATTGAATAAGATCATGAAAGAAAAAAACATTAGTATATTTACACCAAATGGCTTCATAATATAGTAATCAAGAAACTATGGTACTGATTAAATACTGAAAAACTAATAGAGCATCAAGAGCTTAAAACCAGCCCAGTATGATTTTTTTTTTTGTTTTTAAGAAATGGTTTGTCACTACAAAAAATTAATAATGAGTATGTACTTCACTGTACACTAATAAGTGGTACACAGAAAGGCTAAAATTAAGTTCATATTTAAACTCACTTGATGTTTTGATAGATATTGAAGTCTTCTACGCAATTAAAGGAAACATGTTTTAACTAGAAATTCACTTATCCCTCAGTATCACTCAGCCTTATGTTATGAGCTACTGACACATACTCTATCACAAATAAACCTCAGAACACAGTACATACTAAAGCATACATATAATTCCATTGAGTTCTATAAAAATCCATTTGAGAGATTTAGATGACTTATTAGTCCAAGAAGTGCATAAGCAAAATCTATGGTCTGCTTAAGATAAAGGAGTATTTGGTCCTTTTAGAAACTGATAAGCCAAGTAGTAGCCTAGGAAATTCAAACATTCAAAAATTCATTTTTTTCAATGAATACAAAATATTACACAAACTTCATACACCAAGTAATCATTGTCACTCTAATTTGAAAATGTGACTATATATTTAAAAGACAAGCAATCTTAGTTTTGAATAGTGCAAGACCAATGTTTATGGTGTTACTTTAATGAAAATACACATACACAACCGATATACACACATATGAATTTTTGAAAAGAAACATACAGAAGAAAATATTCAAATTGTGCTCATGAAATTATGAGGAAGTAAAATGTCAATGTTATAAATTGTCCTTACTTGAAGATGTTAAACAATTCGCCACATTGTCTGTATCATCTGAGGTCTGAACAGCTTCCAAATCTACAGATTCTAAAGCTCTAAAATAGAAAGATATGAAGTCAAGTTGCATAACAAAGTCAATATTTCAGCTGAACCCTCTCAATACAGTTGATGAAATGATAAAATTGTTACCTTCCAGTCAGTGGTATGCAGCTTTTACTAGATTATTCAAGAACTCTAATGCTCTCAAAATAAATAGCAGAGTTCAGAATAGTAAGAGTGGATGAGTCAGTCAGTGGAATACTTTAAAGACAATCAAACAAAAACCCTGGGGATGTAATGCTAACATTTGCAATTAGAGTACTGCCACTCCTGTTTCTGTCTGCACCTGGAGCTGATCCTGTGCCAAAACACTCTTTACCCAAATACCTCCAGGAGAGAGCTGGTCTCCCAGGAATGCGGATATGCCTGTGAGCACAGGAAAGACTACTACTTCTGCTCAGAGGGACATGCCCAGAATCCTCAGGACACAGGAACCAAGGAACATCAAGGGACAGGATCCTTCTAGTTTCCATTTGCAACCATGAGCAGACCTTGTGCTGCAGCTCTCCATACCCAAATTCCTCCCAAAGAGAAATGGTCTCCAAGGAGTACTGACACACAGGCTTGAAGGAAGGACAGGCCACAGTCAGAGACAGCAAGACCAGCTAACACCAGAGATGGCGAGAGGAAAGCACAAGAACATAAGCAAAGAGAAACCAAGGCTCCCCACCACAGAAAGCCCTGGACACCACAACACACCAGAAAACCAAGAATCTGATTTAAAATCACGTATCATGATGATGATAGAGAACTTTAAGAAGGACATAAATAATTCCCTTAAAGAAATACAGGGGAATACAGGTAAACAAGTAGAAGCCCTTAAAGAGGAAAAACAAAACTCCCTTAACGAAATACAAGAAAACACAACCAAACAGGTGAAGGAATAGAAAAAAATCATCCAGAATCTAAAAATGGAAATAGAAACAATAAAGAAGTCAAAAAGGGAGACAACCCTGTAGATAGAAAACCTAAGAAAGAGATCAGGAGTCATACATGCAAGCATCACCAGCAAAATATAAGAGATAGAAGAAAGAATCTCAGGTGCAGAAGATACCATAGAAAACATTGACACAAAAGTCAAAGAGAATGAAAATACAAAAAGCTCCTAACCCAACAACATCCAGTAAATCGAGGACACAATGAGAAGAACAAACTTAAGGATTCCTTAACAAGCATAAAAGAGAGTGAAGATTCCCGACTTAACTGGCCAGTAAATATCTTCAACAAAATTATAGAAGAAAACTAACCTAACAAAAGAGGTGCCCATAAACATAAAAGAAGCCTACAGAACTCCAAATAGACTGGATAAGAAAAGAAATTCCTCCCATCATATAATAGTCAAAACACTGAATGCACAAAAACAAAGAATATTAAAAGAAATAAGGGAAAAAGGTCAAGTAACATAAAGGCAGACCTATCAGAATTATACCAGACTTCTCACCAGAAACTAGGAAAGCCAGAAGATCCTGGGCAGATGTCATACAGACACTAAGAGAACACAAAAGCCAGCCCAGGCTACTATAGACAGCAAAACTCTCAATTACGAGAGATGGAATAAACAAGATATTCCATGACAAACTCAAATTTACACAGTATCTTTCCACAAATCCAGCCCTACAAAGGATAATAGATGGAAAACACCAACACAAGGAGGGAAACTACACCATAGAAAAATCAAGTAAATAATCTTCTTTCAACAACCCCAAAAGAATATAGCCACACAAACATAAAAATAACATCAAAAATAACAGGAAGCAACAATCATTTTTCCTTAATATCTCTTAACAATTCCCAAATGAAAAGACATAGACTAACAGACTAGATAAATCTGTGGCTTCAGGTAGAGAGCACAACAGTTAGATCATATAACAGGATGGCTGCTTTAGGCAGAGAACTTAACAAGTAAAAACTACCTGCGTCCTATAGGCAGATATTAGTGAAAGTTTGAATTGATTGCTTTACAGATGGTATAAAGATATTGCTTTAATATGTCTTACAGGATACTCATACTCTTTCTAACGTGGGTTCCACAGGAATCTTGGGTTAAAATCCTGGTTTGACAAGCTCCTTGCTTATAAGCAGGTAGAGACAGAAGTTTGAATCAATTGTTTTAATGATGGTATTATAAGGTCTGCAGGATAACTCATATTCTTTGAACTTGGACTCCACAGGAATTTTGGGTTAATTTCCTGGCAGGGCAAAATAGAAAAAGCCTAAGAATAGGCACATAAAGTATTTAAGTTTACTTCATTTCTTTTAGATTGTTTTAGTTTTCAAAATGGGTGTGATTATGAGTCTTGTAGTTATATTATTCCCCTGAGAGAGAGGTCAAAATAAAAGTTTTTCTGGTTACTGGCTCAAGGAAATTGTGATTTGGGAAAAAGGTTTGGTCTTTGTGTTTTTAGATAAGGTGATTAGTGTCTATACACCTTCCAGAGTTCTATGGATCAGATATGATGAAGGGAGACTCCCAGAGGACTAGATTCCAGAGAATCAAACAAAAAGATATCTTGATGATACTAAAACTTTGAGATTTGCATATTATAGAATATACAGCCTTGGTGAGTCTCATCGACAGACATGCTGAAGTGACCTGCTTTGAACTCCTGATTTCTTGGGCTTTCAGCCAGATCCAGTCAGGACACATATGTCAGAGACTAAAACAATCATTGGTGTGGCCTTCTTAAAGCCAATCAACTCCCCTATTTTCCCTCCCATCCACCCTATCAAAGATATCTCAATGCCCATATTCAGCTTGAAGAAGTTATGAAGAGATGTTTCCCAAGTTCTCCGGACTTGGGAGTCTAGAGGTGGTTATTCTAGTTGTCTTTTTGAGGAATGTTGAAATCATCATAATTGGAACAGAGAGGAAATAGCTAGAATTGATTGTCTAACCATAACTGCATTTGGTAGAAATCTTTACAATAATTAAGAAGTTATAATTTCTTAATTTTGATACAGAATCAAGGTTATCATTGGTATAAATTTCATCTATTGATACAAAATTTTTAAAAGTATAAGGCTTGGACTCAGTCCTTCTATAAGGTCATTACAAACTGATCTGAGATGTTTAAGCCTGTCAGTTAAGGGCAAAATAGCAAATTCGTGGTTCTGAGTTTATTTTTAGGGTGTTTTCAGATTATTTAATTAGAAATAGCTGAGGGTAGTTAACAGACAACAGTCCAGATTACTTTACATAGAAAGTTGATTTTCAAAAGTGTCAGAAATCCACAGAATGTGACATTTAATGTTATTTATTCCTTTGTTGTTGAGACGTATCTGCTCCTGGCAGTTCCCCTTTTGTGGATTCAAAGAAGAAATTAAGAGTCTCTACCTCCAGGTGAGGTAGCTAGGTGGCCACTGGAAAAAAACTGCCTATCTTTCCTGCAGACCTGTATCGTTCTTGAGAGGACAGAAGTTGCAGGTTAGGACAGCTTAGTTCTGCTGAGACAGAACAAGCTAGTCCTTAATAATTCCTGTTTTTCAAAGGTCTGTCAGATGATCCTTTGCCAGAAGGCTGAAAACTGATGCTCCAACTTCCTGACTTACTGGAACTGTATGGGTAGGCAGCTATCTTTACAACTTGTCTCAGTTCTAGAAGCTGAGTTAGGCTTCCTATATTTTCAAATAATGTTGCTCGTTTTGAGATTTCTGATGCAGTTGAAAGACTACTTATAGACTCACAGCCAACCCAGGCTACTTAACATTGAGAAAATATATTTGAGAAGATAGTTCTCAGATAGTATACAAGCTAAACCAGGACATAACATATGGATTTATAAGACTTTTAAGTTAGGATAGATGACAGTGTTCTATTTAATTGTCAAAGATGATGGACTGGATGTTAGGTGTATCTTATACTTTATAAATTACAAAATAGTAAGAAAGAAAGACAGACAGACAGAAAGAAAGAAAGAAAGAAAGAAAGAAAGAAAGAAAGAAAGAAAGAGAGAGAGAGAGAGAGAGAGACAGGGAGGGAGGGAGGGAGGGAGGGAGGGAGGGAGGGAGGGAGGAAAGGAGGAAGGGAAGAGAGGGGGCTGGAAGAGAAGGGAGGGGAGGGGAGGGAAGGGATGGGATTGGTCTGTACAGGATAGTAATTCTATTCCTTCATGGCCTCTTCTTCAATGCCTGACTCCAAGTTCATGTTTAATTTCTTATCCTGACTACCATTTGTAATGTACTGTAAGATATAAGATGAAATAAACTCTTTCCTCTCAAAAAAAAAAAATTGTGTAGACAGAGGGATATACTGTGGGGGAAAAAAAGAATATTGTTACTCGAGATTGTAAAGGTAAGTTCCACCTCCTAGAGACACAGCCTTTTAGTGTGGACACAATCACCCAAGCCCCACCATAGTTCTACCTGGTAACTCCTTTTAGCCTCCCCTTTTAGCCCATTTATCTTCATTCTTTTATGAATCCACTGACCAACAGAACTCCTTATTATCACGGACCCCAGCTGCCACACTAGGCTGAGAATCAAGTAAAAAAGCAATATTTACTGTCTTGTCCTCCATTTTGGTCTCCCTACACATACCTTTAGTCTTGCTGCAGCCTGACCACTAGAGGCACCCATCCTCTCAATTCACATCCCCTTGAGATTCAAGGCTTTGGTACAGACCTAGAGTCCCAGTAATTCTTCAACATCACCCCTTCCAGCCTTTCTTTCCAGGCCATCTCCATTCTCCTGTGACTCCCTGCCAACCAGCAGAACAACTATATCTACAAGAGATGCCAAATCATCACATTTAAATGGAATTCGGGACCCCACAGCTGCCATACTTGGCTAGGAGTTAGATTGGTCAAAAGAAACCAAAGAATAGAACACCTACACAACAAAGATAAAACCAGATATCTATACCAAGAAACATCTCAAATATAACTCTAGATGCCTACATCACAGTGTAAAAACACAAGTATGAACAGCTAATACAATAATCTTCCTCCAGAAGGCAGCAACCTTACTGCTCTGAGAAAAGTAATTTAGCCAAAGCATAAAACAAGGACTTTAAAATAGCATTCATGAATACATTCAAAGACCACTAAGAAGAAATGAATAAATGCTTAAAGTAGAATGTGAAAACACAGTTGAAATAATGATAACAATTTAAGACATAAAAGTAGAATTTAACAGATATAATCACTAAATAAAACCCTAACTGAAACAAAACTGGAAGAAAAAAAAAAAGCTAAGGATGTAGAACAAAAATCTCTCAGGTAAGCCTCAACAACTGAATACAAGACATAGAAGAGAGAGGAATTTCGTTTTTTAAAAAATGGGTAGATCAGTCAAAACGAAAAAAAAAAAAATCCAGGCACAAAATATCCACCAAATCAGAACACTATGAAAAGATCAAATCCATGAATATTAGGAATATATGAATGAGACACAATTTTTTCAACAAAATATTAACAGAAAATTTCCCAATTTAAAGTAAGAGATGTCTGTGAAAGTACAAAAAGCATATAGTACACATAGACAGGACATGAAAAGAAACTCCCTGTGATACAGAATAATCAAAATTCTAAATGAACAGAGTGAAAAAAAATTTAAAGGCTAGAAGGGAAGAAGATCAAGAATCACATAAAGGCAGAGCTACTAGAACAACAACAGACTTTGCAATAAAGATTCTAAAAGGCAGAAGGACCTGGACTGAGGGATCACGGATATCAGCACAGACTACTGTACCCTGTGAAACTATCAATCACAATAGATAAAGAAAAACTTTTCACAATAAAAACAAATTTAAGCAATTTCTGTGCCATAATCTCTGACTATGGAAGAGACTAGAACAAAAATTTTATTCAGAAGAGAAGGTTAACTATATTGAAAACGTCACAAGCAATAAATAATTTCAGGAATTAAGTCTAAACCAAGGGTGACCCCACACCACTACCACAACAAAAAAGCAAGAATTAACAAATCTTGCTTATTAATAACCCCATATTAACTTTCCTCAATAAAATACCACAGACTAACCAACTAGATTAAAAAACAGGATACATTAGTTTTCTGAATCCAAAAAATGCATTTAATGTCAAAGGTAGATTATCAGTTCAGGGGAAAAGGTATTCCAAGCAAAAGAAACCAAGAAAGTATATGACAATATAGACTTCAAAGTAATAGTAAGCAGAAGATAAAGGAAGAAACTTTCATAAAGGAAAAAAAATTCACGAAGAGAACAGTGCAATTCTAAACATTTATGCACCAAGCATAAGGGCACTCAAGTTAATAAAAGAAACACTACTACAGCTAAAGTAACATATTGACCTTCACACACTAATAATGGGTAACTTCAATACATCATTCTTCACAATAGACAAGTAATCTATATAAAAAGTAAACAAAGAAATGTTGGAGTCAAATATTGTGATAAAACAAATGGATCTACAAAACATTGCATCCTGACACTAAAGAACACATTTTGTCTTAAGCAGCCCATGGAACTGTCTCCAAAACTAACCACATATTATAACAAAAATCAAGTCTCAGCATTTACCAAAAACTGAAATAATACCCTGTACCTGATCTGACCAGTATTGATGAAAGTTAAATATAAAGAACAGAAACAAAAAAAAATGCTTATAAACTCATTGAAACTCAACAACTCAATATAAGGTCAAGGCAACATAAAACAGACACCTGCCAACAGAATAAATTGGTGCATTTTTAGCACAAATGTTACAGGGATAACTATCTATTTTAAAAAATTATATTTAATGCCCATTCTATGAGATGATGGTCCATCCATTACACTGATAAAGTGCCCAAGAACCAAAGACTACATAGGTCATGGCCCCAATGGGAAAAAGCTATGTTGATTCTGTTAAAGAAACATAGCAATAAAGTTACTTCTAATGACATATGTCTATACCCAGAGCAGAGCATCACATAACCCCATCAGGGAACCTTCTTCTTACATTAGATGATCATTCATAAAAAGACAATGTGCAGAGTTAACTAACAAACTTTGGAGCAGTCAGGCCTAAATCAAACCCCTCATATCAAGGCTCAGATTACATGCAAGAGAGCAAACAGGAAAAAATGTAAGAGCCAGAGGTGGTGAGTGACTCCAAGGAAACAGAAAAAAAGGACTAGTGCATACATGACCTCACAGATTATGTATGACAGCACATATAAGACCTGCACATGTTCAAACTAGACAAAATCCCAGCATTGAGAAGGAAAAGTTGACAGAAAATCTCAAATGGAACCAAGAAGCTATTTACAACTGATACCTGCTGAGGAAGAAAAAAACAAGTTTTCTACAAAAGAGTGTCACTAGGTATGTCAATTGCACTCTAGGGCAGGACCCTGGCCCAGGTGTAGCTAGTCCATGCAAAAGGAACTCCACTTACATTTATTTTTATTTATTTATTTATTTATTTATTTATTTATCTATCTATCTATCTATTTATTTATTTATTTTGGTACACTTTGTTTTGTTATTTTCTGTAACATTGATTTTCTTCTTGTATTTTTTTGTTTTGATTTCTTTTCCTGTTTTGTTTCATGACTTTTAGTTTTTAGTTGAGTGGGTAAGAAAGTAGGAGGGGTCCGAGAATAAATAATATTATCAAAATATATTGTATGGAAAAAATTTTAATTAAGAAAGAAGAATGGAAAAGTGAAACAATATGCTGATACATTGTGAATTACAATTATATCGAGCAAGTGAAATAGAAACTTAATGTTAAAAGCAGTTGAAGTAACTTGAGTCTCATATAACAGTGATTTTATTTTACTTTATAGAATGGCATGCTTTCTCTTTGAAGATCCATGGGATATTTTTCCTGTAGAATCCACATGGTGTACATTTCTCTATGCATGGTACTCACTGGAAACAGACAGGGAAGAGAACTGAAGTCCAACAGTATTTCTAGTGCTCATTTCCAAAAACAAGTCATATTCCTTAAAATTTTTAAAAATATGACATACTACAATGATTTGTGATGCATTTAATCTGAATCACTTTAGAAGATTCATTATTTTTTTATAGTAAAACTAAACTAATTCTTCAATTCTGATATGCACTCAACTAAGTTTTATAGACTGGCTGAAACCTGTTCCCATTGTTTATTACTGTACTTGTAGAAAATGATAAAAGAACACCAGTGGAAAAAAAAGAAATAACTGTTGATAATCGTTACAATACTGACTCTACTACATCTCACTTTCTCTTTGGCTTACATATTAAACAGAAAGAAAGAAAAAGAAGACAGAGAGAGAGAAGAGGGGTGGGGACGACATGGAGACAAGTCTAGAGAGATATATTCATGTGGTCTTGTCTGCCTAGACTGGGCTCAGTAGATTCATGGTCCAGGTTGCCTAGCAGGTACTAGAGTCCTAGTTATATTCTCACCAAGGCAAAGGGGAGAAACAGGCAAAGACAAATACCTCACACATTCCAGCGATTATCACATTTATATTTTTTAAGCAAGGATATAAAATACTCACTTTTTCAGCTGATCCACATCAGAGTCACTTTCTGGTAAGACTCTGATCCCACGACCATAGCTAGTTCCTCCATGAAGATGAAACTGGAGTCTTACCAAAGAAGTTGTGGACTCTGAATTAATTGGCTGAAGTTTGGTATAAAGATTGTAGATTCTAAGGAAGCTTCCGATCTGAAAGATATTTTAAAAGATGATTTCAGAAAAGATATCTAATAAAAGTTTCTGATTCTTGAAAGTTTTATAACCAATAGGAGGTAGTAGTAACCTTAACAAGCCAGAGCCACATGACCAAAGCTGCTGAGTTCTGCTGCTTGCAAGAGCTGGAATATAGCCCCCTGTACTATTACATTATCACTAGCTTCTGTTTCCCAAATCCTTCACTGCCTAAGCCTGGTTGTCCTAGAACTTGATGTGTAGACTGACTTTGAACTCAGAGATCTGCATGCCTGTCTACTGAGCACTGGGATTAAAGATGTGGTCCACTACACCTGGATTTAAGTTCTTCTTCACCTAGAACTTGCTCTATTCTAGGCTGCCCTTGAACTCAGAATTCTGCTTGTCTTTGCCTCCTGGAATTAAAGGCTTGTTCAACCATGCCTGGACCTAAACGTAGCTGGTTGGAATCTTGTCCCAAGGTAACCATTCCCTTAAATCAATTTAATATTTTTGAACATAGGATTCAACTCCATTTCACTTCCTTCACCTTTAATACTCAAACCATATATTTTATATTTTTCCTTTCTAAGTTTGCTATTATTGTTCAAAATGGTCTTCATGAGAATTAACCAGAGAATACTCTATGATGGGCATTTTTGAGACTTCCATTGTTAATGCAATTAATATAAATCTCTTTCTTCAGGTAGAGTCTTCATATAAGGGGAAAAAGCAGCACCAAAAGAAAAAAAAAGTCTCTAGACCACATACTGAAATTCCTCTCCACTCTTGGGCCAAATCAACATAATTCAAACCACTCACAGCAACAAAGTCTTCCATATTTCTTCTAGGATAGCCCATTAAGCTCCACTTAAAGCATTCCAAGGCTTTTGAAATCTAAAGTCCCAAAATCCACATTCTTTCAAACAAAAGCATGGTTAGGCCTATCACAGCAACACCCCACTCCTGGTACCAAACTCTGTGTTAGATAGGGTTTTACTGCTGTGAACACACACCATGACCAAGACAACTTTTATAAGGACAACATTTAATTGGGGCTGGCTTACAGGTTCAGAGGTTCAGTTTATCACCAAAGTGAGAACACAGCAGCATCCAGGCAGACATGGTATAAGTGGAGCTGATAGTCTTCATTTGAAGACTGCTAGTGGAAGACTGGCTTCCAGGCAGATAGGATGAGAGTCTAGATAAGGAAACACACTTTATATTTGCCAAAAAAATATGTACCAAGATGAATTCTCAATTCTGAACTCTATGCCCCAAATGCAAGGGCACCTACATACATAAAAGAAACTTTACTAAAGCTCAAAACACACATTACACCTCACACAATAATAGTGGGGGATTTCAACACCCCACTCTCAGCAATGGACAGATCATGGAAACAGAAACTAAACCGAGACACTTTGACATTAACAGAAGTTATGAACCAAATGGACTTAACAGACATCTATAGAACATTTCATCCTAAAACAAAAGAATATTCCTTTTTCTCAGCACCTCATGGTACCTTCTCCAAAATAGACCATATAATTGGTCACAAAACAGGCCTCTACAGATACAAAAAGATTGAAATAATCCCTTGCATCTTATCAGATCACCACGGACTAAGACTGGTCTTTAATAATGACAAAACCAATGGAAAACCCACGGGCACATGGAAACTGAACAACTCTCTACTCAATGATGACATGGTCAAGGAAGAAATAAAGAAAGAAATTAAAGACTTTTTAGAATTCAGTAAAAATGAAGACACATCATACCAAAACTTGTGGGACTCCATGAAGGCAGTGCTAAGAGGAAAACTCATAGCTCTAAGTGCCCACAAAAAGAAACTGGAAAGAGCACACACTAACAACTTGACTGCACAACTAAAAGCTCTAGAACAAAAAGAAGCAAATACACCCAGGAGGAGTAGAAGGCAGGAAATAATCAAACTCAGGGCTGAAATCAACCAAATAGAAACAGAAAGAACAATACAAAATATCAACAAAACCAGGAGCTGGTTCTTTGAGAAAATCAACAAGATAGATAAACCATTAGCCAGATTAACCAGAGGGCACAGAGACAGTATCCAAATTAATAAAACCAGAACTGAAAACGGAGACACAACAACAGAAACTGAAGAAATTCAAAAAATCATCAGATCCTACTACAAAGGCCTATACTCAACAAAACTGGAAAACCTGGATGAAATGGACAATTTCCTAGACAGATACCAGGTACCAAAGTTAAATCAGGAGCAGATAAACCATCTAAATAGTCCCATAAACCCTAAGGAAATAGCAGCAGTCATTAAAAGTCTCCCCAGTAAAAAAAGCCCAGGACCAGATGGTTTTAGTGCTGAATTTTATCAGACCTTCAAGGAAGACCTAATACCAATTCTCTTCAAACTATTCCACAAAATAGAAACAAAAGGAACACTAACCAATTAGTTCTATGAAGCTACAATTACACTCATACCCAAACCCCACAGAGATACGACAAAGAAAGAGAACTTCAGACCAATCTCCCTTATGAACATCGATGCAAAAATACTCAATAAAATTTTAGCAAACCGAATCCAAGACCACATCAAAACAATCATCCATCATGATCAAGTAGGTTTTATCCCAGGAATGCAGAGATGGTTCAATATTCGGAAATCCATCAATGTAATCCACTATATAAACAAACTCAAAGAAAAAAACCACATGATCATCTCACTAGATGCTGAGAAAGCATTTGACAAAATTCAACATCCCTTAATGATAAAAGTCTTGGAAAGATCAGGAATTCAAGGCCCATACCTAAACATAGTAAAAGCAATTTACAGCAAACCAGTAGCCAACATCAAGCTAAATGGAGAGAAATTTGAAGCAATCCCACTAAGCTCAGGGCCTAGACAAGGCTGCCTACTCTCCCCCTACCTATTCAATATAGTACTGGAAGTCCTAGCCAGAGCAATTAGATAACAAAAAGAAGTCAAAGGGATACAAATAGGAAAGGAAGAAGTTAAAATATCACTATTTGCAGATGATATGATAGTATACTTAAGTGACCCCCAAACTTCCACCAGAGAACTCCTAAACCTGATAAAAAACTTCAGCAAAGTGGCTGGTTATAAAATCAACTCAAACAAATCAGTAGCCTTCCTCTACATGAAAGATAAACAGACTGAAAAAGATATTAGGGAAATGACACCCTTCACAATAGTTCCAAATAATATAAAATACCTTGGTGTGATTCTAACCAAGCAAGTGAAAGACCTGTATGACAAGAACTTCAAGTCTCTGAAGAAAGAAATTGAAGAAGCTCTCAGAAGATCCCATGCTCATGGATTGGCAGGATTAATATAATAAAAATGGCCATCTTGCCAAAAGCAAGCTACAGATTCAATGCAATCCCCATTAAAATACCAACTCAATTCTTCTCAGAGTTAGAAACGGAAATTCTCAAATTCATATGGAATAACAAAAAACCCAGGATAGCGAAAACTATTCTGAACAATAAAAGAACTTCTGGAGGAATCACCATCCCTGACCTCAAGCTGTACTACACAGCAATAGTGATAAAAACTATCTGGTATTGGTACAAAGACAGGCAGGAAGATCAATGGAATAGAATTGAAGACCCAGAAATGAAGCCACACACCTTTGGTCACTTGATCTTTGACAAAGGAGCAAAAACTGTCCAGTGGAAAAAGGACAGCATTTTCAACATATGGTGCTGGTTCAACTGGAGGACAACATGTAGAAAAATGAAAATTGATCCATTCTTATCTCCTTGTACACAGCTCAAGTCTAAGTGGATAAAGGACCTCCACATAAAACCAGATACACTGAAACTAATAGAAGAGAAGGTGGGGAAGAGCCTCAAATACTTGGGCACAGGGGAAAAGTTCCTGAACAGAACACCAATGGCATATGCTCTAAGATCAAGAAATGACAAATGGGACTTTATAAAATTGCAAAGTTTCTGTAAGGCAAAGGACACTGTCAATAGGACAAAACGACAACCAACAAATTGGGAAAAAAGTCCTACATCTGATAGAGGGCTAATATCCAATATATACAAAGAACTCAAGAAATTAGACTCCAGACAACCAAATAACCCTATTAAAAAATGAGGTATAGAGCTTAACAACGAATTTTCAATGGAAGAAACTCAAATGGCTGAGAAGCACCTATATAAATGTTTAGTATCCTTATTCGTCAGGGAAATGCAAATCAAAACAACCCTGAGATTCCACCTCACACCAGTCAGAATGGCTAAGATTAAAAATTCAGGTGATAGTAGATGCTGGCGAGGGTGTGGAGAAAGAGGAACACCCCTCCATTGTTGGTGCAACCACTTTGGAAATTAGTGTGGTGGTACCTAAGAAAATTGGACATAGGATCCAGCTATACCACTCCTAGGCATATACCCAGAAGATGCTCGAACATATAACAAGGACATATGCTCAACTATGTTCATAGCAGGCTTATTTATAATAGCCAGGAGCTGGAAAGAACCCAGATGTCCTTCAACTGAGGAATGGATTTAAAAAATGTGGTATATTTACACAATGGAATATTACTCAGCTATTAAAAACAATGAATTCGAGAGGTTCCTAGGTAAATGGATGGAACTAGAAATTATCATCCTGAGTGAGGTAAGCCAATCACAAAAGAACACACATGGTATTCACTCACTGATTATTGGATATTAGCCCAGAACCTTGAAATGCCCAAGATGCAACTCACAGGCCACATGAAGCTCATAAAGAAGGAAGACCAAGTGGGGGTGATTCGGTCTTTCTTAGAAGGAGCAACAAAATACTCAAGGGAGCAAATATGGAGACAAAGTGAGGGACAGAAACTGAAGGAGAGCCCGTCTGAAGACCTTTCCACCTGAGTATCCATCCCATGTGCAGTCACCAAAGGTAGATGCTGATGTGGAAGTCAGGAAGTGCATGCTGATAAGAGCCTGATATGGATGTCTCCTCAGAAGTCTTCAAGAGTCTGACATATTCAGAGGCA